AAAAACAGGTTGATAACTGCGGCCTCAGGCTCAGATTGGTAGAACTCAGGAATCTGTAATCCTGGACACCCAGCTATTTGCTGAAGAAATGGTCTGGACTTCGGAAAAACTGCTCTAAGTGGTAGAAAGAAGAGTCAGTAATTAAAAATAGGAGGATGTTATTATTTTGTTAAAACTATTAATTTTGTATGTAGAAACATTTCTGCCTTTGACTGCTGCAGTAATCTAGGCACCCCAGAATGCCTGCTGGCTGCTACGTGGTATGTGTAAAATGTGTAGTTTAAAAGCCTTTTAAGCAGTGGAAATATTTATATTTAAACTAGATGCCTGGCGCATAAGATTTGTGCACTAGTGGCAGGGAGAAGGGGGTCTCTCGGCTTGGCCTGTGCCTCCTGCAGTCCGGGACCTCTCAGGAGGTGGGGGCAGGGGGGGGGGGAGTAGAAGGGAGAATGGGCCTAAGCTGATATCCCTCTATCCCTCTTGCAGTCGGGGGCTCTTGCAGTTCAGGACCCCTTGCCCCTTACTGCCCACCTGCAGTGGAGGCGGAGAGGTCCCCCACCGCCACTGCGCTTGCCTGCCATGAGCTCAGCTTCTGGCTCAGCGGCACTCCCACTGTGGGAGCGCACTGACCACCAGGGGGCAGCTCCTGCATCGTCTGCCCCCTGGTGGTTAGTGTGCATCATAGTGACCAATCGTTCTGCCGTTAGGTTGATTTGCGTATTACACTTTTATTACATAGGACTAGGCCTGGTGCACAGTTTCATGCACACTGAAAGGAAATTAATTAGAAGGTTTCAGGGAGGGCAGGACTGGGCAAGAAGGGCCAGACACACCCTGGAGCCAACCTCCCATGGTCCCTCCCCAGCATCTGTGGAGTGAGCGGGGTCCCTCTGTCTGGTCTGGGGGATCTGGTCTGGGGAGATCAGGCCAAAACCAGCTCTCTTAACATCCCCTGAGGGGTCCCAGAGTGTGAGAGGGCACTCTGCAAAGTTGCTGTCATACTTGGTGTGAAACAAATGCAAGTGTGCAGTAAACCAGATTCGGGGCCATCAGTGCCCAGCAACAACAGAACCCAGGCAGAAAGTGGAGTCACGTGGCTTTGTGAGGAATTGGGCTCCTTCCTTTTTGGTTTCGGGATGTGTCACCTGAGAACCGCTGCTGCCAAGTCGCTGCAGCTCGCAGCTTCCGCATTGATCATTTGCACCCTGGTGGTCAGTGCACATCATAGCAACCAGTCGGATGGTGGGAGGGACACTTAGCATATTAGCCTTTTATACACATACACACACACTATAAGCCAGTGCATGAGATTTGTGCAGTCGGGTGGGGGTTCCTCTCGGCCCAACCTTTACCCTTCCCAGTCCAGGACCTCTTGAGGGATGTCCGGCTGCAGACCTAAACTGGCAGTTGGGACATCCCTCTTGCAATCTGGGATTGCTTGCTCCTAACCACTTGCTTCCCTGCTTGCTCCCAACTGCCCCCCTTGCTGGCCTGATCACCCCCAATTGCCCTCCCCTCCTCGCCTGATCACCCCTAACCACCTCTGCCTTGGCCCTGCCACCATGGCTTTGTCTGGAAGGAATTCTGGAAGGTTTCTCGGTCTAATTAGCATATTACTCTTCTATTAGTATAGATTAGAGGCCCTGTGCACGAATTTGTGCACAGGTGGGGTCCCTTGGGGTGGCCTGCAGGAATCGGGCTCCAGCCTTGCAGCCCTAGTTCATGCCCCCAAACTCACAGCCCCACCTGTCACTCCACTTCGGCCTGGTGCCGCCCCTCACTTGCTCCACCATCCCGTGCATGGCAATTGATCGGGGCTGGGCTTTCCACCCACTTCCCTCAGTGCCTGGGGGCTGGGCAGCATTTCTGCTCTCTGCCTTTGGTCACGGTCTTCGGAGTGATTGATGGGGTGATGGGGCTCCACTCCTACCCGCTTCGGCCTGGTGCTGCCTGCTCATCTGGTCCACTGTTCCACCACTGTCCTGCTCTTGTCGGGGCCCATCGGAGCTGGCAGCCCCTCCACTGCCCGTGCTGTGATGTCAATGCCTGCCATGTTTCGTGCCGCCTCCTGATGGTCAGCATGTCATAGCAAGTGGTTGAAATCCCAGTTGGACAATTAGGCTTTTAATATATAGATGAACCACTTGACATTCCTGTGCAGGATTCGCTAATATCTATCTTTAAGTCTCAGTAATGTTTCTGAACTTTGGATTCAAATGGGGGGGTCTTTCCACCTTCATTTAATCTCATCCTATGTGGATTTTGAGCTGAAGTAGTACTCTAATTAAACCCATTATATAGGAAAGGAAACAGGCCCAGAGAGGTTCAGTGATTTGCCCAAGGTGATGCAGCTATTTAAGGGTGGTGGGAGCGAGAATTCAAATCAAGGTTGGTCTTACCACTGTGCTCTCATGAGTGCTAGAAATTAGATAAACTTTGAGGAATGCTTTCAGAGCCACTTGGAGAGTTAAATTTAAGTAGTTGAAAAAGATGTTAATTTCTGGTGTATCATAAACATTGATATTTAAATAAAAAATTATTATATCCTGGCCCAGTGTGGCTCACTTGATTGGATAGTCATCCTATACACCAAAAGGTGGTGGTTCAATTTTTGGGCACATACGTAGGTTGCAGGTTCCAATCCCCAGTTGGGGGTGCGTGAGAGGCAACCAATTGATGTTTCTAAAAATCAATTACAAAAGCTATTATATCTAATGTATGCAGAGGAATGTTTTACCATGAGTTGATGTCTACCATGATGCAATTAGACATAAGTAAATGATTCAAATTTAACATTGATTCTTTTTCTCACTGGAAACCTGTATTTGTTAAATTTCCATCACAAAGCATTACCCTAATACAATAAATTTTTATGCTTGAAGGCCTTATGTTTATTTCTTTGCAACATATTTGTGTATAAGTTGAAATGTTAAATTTTAATTTGCTATGACCATAAGGTACCACATTTTCATGTTTTTTTATATTAAAATTTTTTTATAATGAATGCACACTTGAACCATATAGCAAATTGCTCGTTGATATTGGGGTAAGATTTTATTGGAAACTTCCCTTTTAAGAAAATTTTTTTTTAAAAAAAATATATTTTTGTTGATTTGAGGGAGAGAAACATCCATGATGAGAATCACCGATCAGCTGCCTCCTGCATGTCCCCCATTGGGGATCAAGCCCGCAACCTTGGTATATGCCCCTGACCAGAATTGAGCCCAGGACCCTTCAGTCCGCAGGCCAAACACACTATCCACTGAAACAAACTGGCCAGGGCTAAAAATAACATAATTTTCATTGATTTTAGGGAGAGGGAAAGAAAAATCAATGATGAGAATAACTGATTGGCTGCCTCCTGCACACCTCCTACAGGGGATCGAGCCAAAAGCCAGGTATATGCCCTTGAGCAGAATTGAAGCTGGGACCCTTCAGTCCATAGGCTGATGCCCTATCCACCAAGTCAAACCCGGCTAGGGTGGAAACTCCCCACTTACTAGGTGGGGATATCATGGTCTCAGTTAAAGGTGGCTTCATTAACCAGTATTTCAAATTGTCCTGTTTGGCTTCCCAAAGGTTTTAACATATAGGTTAAATATAGCTAAAGGTTCTTAAATATAGTGGACACCGAACTCCGATTCAAGCTGGGTGAGAGATGCCTTCTGTAGTTTTGATGGGAACACTGATTGCAGGTGTGTGCATGGGCACAGTTTTATGGAGGTGCTTATGTGGAACTTGATCTAGAAAGCAGTTACTGCACTATCCAAGCCCATGTGCTCCTTGGAAAGTCTTTGATGCCCTTGGGGTATAAATACCTCAGAAGACTGCTACTTGAGAACTCTTGCCGTGTGCTGCAAAAAACACCAGGATGGTCACCTTCGCACAGGCCCAGCAAACGGAGTCCTCGGCAGGTGCAGAGACGGCTGTCCTCTTGGTAGAATACTATGTAGTAGTTATAAACAAGTTGCAAAAGGACAGCGTCCAAATTTGAAATAGAAGAATCCTCATCAATATGTATGAAAAATTTAAATTCACTCTGATGGGACAGTTATGCATAAAAAGGCAAATGAAGATAAGGACTTTGTTTTTTTAAAAAAAATGTTTTATTGATTTTTAGGGGATATAGAGATAGAAACATTGATGAGAGAAACATTGATTGGCTGCTTCTTGCATGCCCCACACTGGGGATCGAGTCCACCACCTGGGCATGTGCTTTGACCAGGAATCAAACCGTGAGTTCCTGCTTCATAGGTTGATGCTCAACCACAGAGCCACACCGGCTGGACTGCCTTTTATTTTATACTAGAGGTCCAGCGGGCATGAAATTGTGCACGGTTAGGGTCCCTAGGCCATCTGCCCACTCGCCAGTGCCTGCTGCCACCCCCTGGTTTGCTGTGGTTCCCTGATTGCAGCATGGCTCACGTTCCCCGGAGCCTGGGGGGGGAGGGACCAAGAGGTCGCCATTCCACCCGCTCACCAGCCCCGCCATGCTGTGATGGGAGGCTGCGGGCCAGAGGGGAAGGGTCAGAGAGGTGTTCAATGCACCTCATGGTGACCTGTCATTTGGTCGTCCTGGTTGTCACGGACACTGGTTTTATATATACAGAGATAATATTCCTGAGTTCCTGCATGGTTTCCTAGCTGAGGCCATGACTGGGATTCCCTGGGGATAGGTTAGTAGCAGTGTCCAAAATCTAAGTCTTAGGCTATAATGAGTATCTTTGTTTAGATTTCCTGGGTGCTAAGCATACCCCAAAATTTTTAAATTAAAATGAACAATTTTCTTTCAAATCAGTGTTAACAGTCCCAAACATTAGATTCTTCATAATTTTTATTCAAGCAGCAATAGATTTAGAACGGAAGATTATAACTTATTTAAAAAAATTAAATACCTACTAAATAAGAGACTTCTCTCCCCCTCCCCCCAACCGTGAAGATTTATTTTTGATTGTAGAGCTGAATATGTCTTGCAAAACTTTTCTTTGGTCATCACTTGGTTATAAAAATACTCGTCCCAACTCAAACATTACCTTAGGGTGAAAAAAAAAAGTTATTAATTTCATGGCAAATCACTGGTACAAGCTAAAAAGACTCTTCTAAGTTTGTGATCAATGAAGAATGCTGAAGAAAACGTAAATACGTGTCTTCCCCATGTGGCAGCTGCAGCTCTGCGGCTCAGGCACTTGCTGTAGGCTTTACATTGTATATTTTAAGATGTAGAACTTTTTTAAAAAAAATGCATTTTCAAAATATTACCACAGCCACTTGGAACTTAAACCTCACTTCCAAATAGACTTAGTGACTGCAATAAAGTCTTCCTAGCATTTTTTTTCTTTTTTAAAAAAATGTTTTATTGCTTTTTTTACAGAGAGGGAGGGAGAGGGGTAGAGAGTTAGAAACACTGATGAGAGAAACATCGATCAGCTGCCTCCTGCACACATACTGGAGATGTGCTTGCAATCAAGGTACATGCCCTTGACTGGAATTGAACCTGGGCCCCTCAGTCTGCAGGCCAGTGCTCTGTCCCCTGAGCAGACCGGTTAGGGCTCCCTAGCATTTTCTATGCCAACTTCATTTTCATGAAAAGGTGCCTTACCTCTATGGTGATGAGGATGACAATCATCCACTCCAGGCGGAGCGCCCTCTTCTCTGTCAGGTGATTCCGCATTAGATCTGTCAGCTCCATGCAGTGCTGAAGTTTTTCATTCATGACCTACATTAGAAAAATAAAACACATGGACATACAAATACAAAGTATCATGTACTTCAACACATTTAATTCAGCAAATAAGTAACATGGTTACATGCTTCAAAATTGTTAAGGTTCGAAATAGGTATCCAGTGAAAAAGCATCCTTTCAATTCTCTCTCCTCAGTTCTCTCCCCGAAGGCAACCTGCCAATATTCCCTGGCTCGTGCATCCATCTAGAGACATTTTGTCTGCACAGATTGAACTGCAAGAAGTACTTTGCATACTGCAGCTCTTATTGGTCAGGTTTGGATGGAAGATCTAAGTATATATTAGTTTCTGAGTCCTAGTTTTTTGGTAGCTGCCTGTGGATTTTAGCAGGTATGAAAGGCAAACCTGAACCATGGTTCGTTCAGCACGGCCTTAAGATGATGATGATTAACCTACCTTATACTACAATTCACTGTCAAATCCCACAAACAGATGACCTGCTGCTCACTCACCACCAGGTGGCACTGCTTTTAGCGCTGAACTGCAGAGGTTCTGCTGGCTGTTGCCTGCCTTAGGTTGGTTGAGGGAGTTCATTGAACAGAATCTTTGAATTTGAGACTTGAATGTGACCACTGGCAATTTATCCCTCCTAAATCTCTCTGTAGCTCACTTTCTTTTGAAAATTGTTAAGTCTGGAAACATTTTTTTTAAATTTGATTCCTCTTGATTACTTATGGGGTGTGCTGAGGATGCAGGTTTGGTCAGTGGAAACTTGAGACAAGTTACAGATGCATGTTTGGGGTTTGACTGAAATGTGTTATGTGTTGTATCTATAATAATAAAAGCATAATATGCTAATTATACCAAGTGTCCTTCCTTCTAGAGACGCAGTGTGTGGGGACTGAGGCCCAGGCGACAAAGTGTGCCCCCCCTCCAGACATCAGCCATCCTTACTCTTTACTCCTCCTGGCCTTCTATGATCAAGTACTTGATTTGCTTAGAGCAGTGGTCAGCAAACTCATTAGTTAACAGAGCCAAATATCAACAGTACAACGAATGAAATTTATTTTGAGAGCCGAAAACCTACTTCGGCGAAGTTTCAATCGCACTGTATGGGCGCGCCTGCACATGGTATTTTGTGAAAGAGCCACATGTGGCTCGCGAGATACAGTTTGCCGACCACTGGCTTAGAGGATCCTTCTCAGACTGCATCTCTATTCTCACTGTCACTATTACAGTTTCAGACCCCATGGAATTGTTTGAAACTTGAGAACTTCCTTATGGGCCTCTAGGCCTCCAATCTCTCACCACTCTTATCTAGTCTGCAGAGCAAATATCAGAATATGCTTTTGCACAAAGAGTTGAAAATTTCAGACAAAAAAGGGGAAGTGGGAAATTTAGAGATCTAAACAGAAGTCAAATATTTTTCCAAAAGCAATTAAGTGCAGTGTCTTAAATTTAAAGTTTGTCTTCACATAGGCAAATTATAAGCAACACTGTATCCCCTGTGAAAAGTGCAAATACATACCTTAACTCTACGAGTAATGCTTAGGAACTGACAAGTTTTGTCGTAAAGTTCTTCCAGGTTTTCTCTGTCCCAGTAGAAATCCGGAGTGATCAAGAAGTCTGAACTCAAGTTTATACGGTGTCTTAAAAAAAGGAAAATCAAAACTTTATTTTCTATCTTGAATTAAGAATTATGGTTATTATTTTTTATACTTGGTGCATTATTGACAATTGCTGATCTTTGTTAATATATCTGAGAAAAATAAAAAAATTTAAAAGAATTTTTAAAATTGCAAACTAATTCAATCTTTATTAGTATTATTTATGAAGTAATTTGAAGTAAAATGAAACTTTTTTGTTTCTACTTTTTTTTTTACTAAAAAGTTTTGCAGTATACCCAAACATTTTTTTGTGTGTGGATAGGAATTAACATGACTCAAAAGTAAAAAAAAAAAAAAAAAGGTGAAGATTGACCACTCTTACTCCTCTTCTTATTCCCATCTTTCCCTCTCTCCTATCCCATATAGGTAAACAGTGTTTCCCCTGTAGCCTTCCAGTGTATGTTGTGTGAAACATTCCTAATTTCTGAGACATTCTCTCTTTCCTAATTTCTATCTATTTTTACAAAAAAGGTTTAAGCTTACTTTTAAATGAAACCTAAGTTGTAGAAGTAATATATAAATAGCTCACTTAAAAAATGAAAAACCTAGAGAAGGATTCAGAAAAAAGTGGTAAGGCCTCTTCACCCAACATACAACTCAAATCCTTCAGGCCCTGCAAACGTTGCTGTGTCCTTCCAGACCTTTTTCTGTTCATACACATATGCATGTGTGCACATATATGTGTAGTATGTACACATATCAAGATGAATAGGGGTATTTATTTTTGTTGGTCTACACAAAGGAAATCATACCATATATAATCTGTGCATGTTTTTATGCACAGATGTACATTCCTTTTAATAACACATGAGCGCTTTTACTGTAAAGAGAAGAAAACTTCGGATAAGAATAGTGGGACTACAGCAACTATTCACAAACCTAAGCATACTTATTCCTAACTTCTGAGTTTTTTTACAAAATATATTTTATTGATTTTTTACAGAGAGGAAGGGGGAGAGAGAGAGAAAGCTAGAAACATCGACGAGAAACATCGACCAGCTGCCTCTTGCACGCCCCCTACCTGGGATGTGCCTGCAACCAAGGTACATGCCCTTGACCGGAATTGAACCTGGGACCTTTCCGTCCGCAGACCGACGCTCTATCCACTGAGCCAAACCGGCTTCGGCAACTTCCGAGTTTTGATACAATAATTGGCTGTATCAAATTCTGCTTGCATTCCCAAGACAAGAGAAGGGGCTCTCTCTAACACACCCCTTAGAGAACCCAAGGCTCAGACCCTGAGCTATGAGAAACACAGGTTGATGAGACAGGGGCCATCACTCTCCCGGGCAGAGTATCTAACGAGAACGTGGAAAACCACCTCAGGTCGATGAACTCTAGTCTCATCCCATACACCAGAGGGGATGAAACACTGAACAAGGCAGCCGGCCTATTGAAAACTACTCTGGAGAATCATTTCCTTCCCACAAAAGGACAACAACAATAAACTGGAACATTTAACATCTCTGACAATGGGAGGCATCTTTAAAACTGAAGTTATCTTACAGGTGGCAGCTGTGACTTAAAATGTCAATGCCTTAATTTATTTCCCTTATGCTTTCCTTGTTATGTATGCCCGAGAGAGAATGTGATAGAATTTACACCCAAATAAAACTGAAAGAGCTATTTCAGCAAGTGCAAGATCAAAGCTCTGGGATAAAAAAGCACTGTATCACAGCCCAGTCGGCCTGGCTCAGTGGTTGAGCATCAAGCTATGAACTAGGAGGTCACTTAACCATTCCTGATCAGGCGACATGCCGGGGTTGCAGGCTCCAACGCCAGTGTGGGGCGTGCAGAGGCATCCAATCAACGATCCTCTCTCAACACTGATGTTTCTATCCCTCCTCCCTTCCTCTCTGAAATCAATAAAAATATACATACATATATTTTTTAGAAGCACCATATCATAGTTTTAAGTGACAGCACCATCCTCTCCTGGGGCATCTTATGTCGCCTCCATCAATGAAATGTGGTACATTTGTCTGGAGGAATTAGGTCTGTTTAGCATTACGATGCAGTGACATGTTTTTACTGAGAATTCCCATCATCCAAATGCTAGAAGGTGTCTTTCTACCTTCTAAGAACATCACTGTGCTCTCAGGTAGGTTTAATGCAGATTAACTGTGATCTCTTTTGCACTTGCAGACTTTCTTCAGTTTGGCCCTAGTACAGCCCACTGCTTCTCATGGTAAGAATTCTGCAGGCTTATAAAGAATGAAATGAAAACATCTCCAAGTCCCCTAAAGGTGAAAATGTTGACTCTTTACTGAGGAATTGCAGGAATGTCTTCTTGAGATCATTAAACATATGAAATATTTACTGGGAACATTTTACCTGAGGGCAAAGAGTTCACCCATTTTCTGCATAACTTCTTCATGAGATAGTTTCACTTTCCTCCCAGCTTTTAAAGCCTATTTGGGAGGGAAAAAGAAAAGATACGTGTGTACACATATATCTGCATCAGTAAGAGGGACCATAAAGCAAATTCTGAAGCTTATCCAATGTAAATGACATCTCTTGAATAACTGTTTCCCAATCTAATAAAAAATACTTAATCTTGTTAGGTAGAAATTTTATATCCCCCTTTTCATTTCCTTTCTTACCTACATTATACATTTCTAATCTTTTACTAAAAATTCAAGACCTCTCCCCTGGCTGGTGCTGCTCAGTGGTTAGAGCATAAGCTCAGCACTAAAAGGTCAAAGGTTTGATTTCTGATCAAGGGCACATACCTGGGTTTCAGAATTCCCCCTCCCCTGCCCCAGAGGCATAGTTGGGGTGCATGTCGGAGGGAGGGGCAACCAATGTGTCTCTCCCATCAATGTTTCCCTTTCCCCCCTCCTTCCCTTCCACTTTCTGAAAAGCAATGGGAAAATATCCTCATGTGAGGATTAACACACAAAAAATTCAAGACCTCTTATCCAAAGTATAATTAGATTTATTCTTCCACGGTAAAAAATATTAGAGCAAGCTTGATTTTTAATGTATCTTCAAGTTTTGATATAACTTTATATGCATTTTTCATGCCACTATTGTGAAAAACATTCAGCATACCTTTTTTAATCAAGAAAAGTGGTCATGACCTCCTTCCTTAGAGAGAAACACTTCACTTTTATTTTCTTTATTGCAGTTACATTAAGAATACTGCACCAGCCGAAATCGGTTTGGCTCAATGGAGAGAGCGTTGGCTTGGGGACTGAAATGTCCCGGGTTCAATTCCGGTCAAGGACATGTACGTTGGTTGCGGGCACATCCCTAGTAGGGGGTGTGCAAGAGGTAGCTGATCGATGACTCTCACTCATCGATGTTTCTAACTCTCCCTTCCTCTCTGTACAAAATCAATAAAATATATTCATCTTAGGAAAGTAATTTAAATTTTACACCTGAAAGGTAAAAACAGCCTGGCTGCTATGGCTTAGTGGTTGAGTATCAACCCGTGAACCAGGAGGTCATGGTTTGATTCCTGTTCAGGGCACATGCCCGGGTTGCAGGCTTGATCCCCAGAGTGGGGCGTGCAGGAGGCAGCAGATCAATGATTCTCATTGATGTTCCTATGTCTCCCTCTCCCTTTCTCTATGAAATCAATAAGAAAAGGAAAAAAAGGAAATTAAACAAATATGAAATTTCTTATTCACCATTTTATAAGTAAGTGGGATTGTTTTCCTTAAAGTATAGCTTTCCTAATTATTTTATTGTACTTCTAAATATATGGTTATAGTGGAAAATGTGCATTTTTTCCCAAATAAAAACCAATCCTTGAAAGCAAGCATAAAGTTGGTATAATTACCTCTGGAATTGACTGAATAGATTCCACAAATTGATCCAATGATGATTCCCAAATAGCCAGCTTCACTGGGGAAAAAGTTCACAACGGATCACTTAACACCTTCACATTTACACGAAATGCAGAAGGGCACGGTACCTTTCCCGAGTGTCAGCAATACTCTACGACAGCGGTCGCCACCCGGGAGCCCACGGACCACTGGGGGTCCGTGAGGTCCCCAAGGTTGGCGAACGCTGCTCTAAGATGCAAATCTGCTGCCAACTTGGAAGTAAAATTTAATAAGTTCATCATCTTAAGGGACGGCACGAAAGTGGCAAAAGACAGAGGAAATGAAGTTGCTTTCCAAGCCCTGCTGGCCGTCCAAAGCTACCTTGAATAGAATTCCTGGTTTTCTAATATTGCAGCCTGAAAACCAGAAAGAGCTACATCCCGGGACAGAGGGCGGCTGTGTAGGTGGGCAGAGATAGGCTCCCGGCCCCTACCCTCACCCCGCAATTCCCTGGGGCTGTGAGTACAGCGCAGAAGGGCCTGAGCCCTAGGGGGGTGTGGACAGGCCACAGTGCAGACTGAGGGCAAACAAGCTGTTCAGGGGCTTCTGCAGCCTCACCAGGTGCTGGACCTTTCGGAAGAACGGAGAGCCACGTGACCCTCCCATCTCTGTGAAAAATCAGTGTGTTTCTCTCCAGAGGCCCGTGCCTGTCACACAGGGCGGAGCTTCCCGCCGCACCAGAGACAAGCTAACAACGATCACCACACAGGCAGGAGGGGAGAACAGGCGGTAACCACAATCTAAGACATTTTTGGAGGGGGTAAGCTTTATCCACACAATGAATAAGCAACGAGGAGCTTCGGCACAGGTATTTCTATTCTGCTTTTTCTCTTTCGCAGAAAAGAAAGGAATGCTGAAGCTTTGCTGGGTATTCGATAAAAACATGTCCAAATCGTTACTAAATACTTCAGCTTCCCTTGAAGCGAAAGCTATGCAGTCCTCTCCCGGGTAAGCAGCCTTCACCTACCTGAGAGGCAGAGCGCGTTGGAGAAGGCGAATTTCTCCAGGATGGCGTCATCCATGTCCAGCTCGGAGTTCAGCCGGATTTCTCCTCGGTGCAGTCTCGACTGCCCCCTGTGGGAGGGGGACGTGTACCTTGTCAGTCTTAACGAGCACTTAACGTTTTTCTTTTGAAAAAGTCACCTTAGCTTAAATCTTTCTAGAGGTCATTTTGGTCATTTGTATCAAGTGTCTTATACATATTCTCATACACTTTGATTCAAGTAATTCCACGTCTCGAAGTTCATTCTAAGAAAATAAAAGATGTGAAGAGGAATGTGTGTACCAAAAACGTCGTGGCCCAATGTTTAACAGTAAAAAAAAAAAAATAATTAGAAATGAAATGTTCAACAGGAGAATGGTCCGTTTACAGTATCCCACAAAAGAAGTTAGAAAGCATGTCTTGGGAAGATGTGTAGTGGAAAGGAAAAATAATCACAATAAACGGTTAACGGAAAAAACGTTGAGTGGAAAGCACAGACAGCGCATTTATAATCACACTGATGTGGTGTGGGTGGGAGGAAGAGGCAGCGGTGAGGACGAAGGGCTGGCTCAGTGGCTGCAGTGCCAGCCCGGATAGCACAGGCTGCGGGTCCCATCCCAGTGGGCGCGTACGGAAGGCAAAGGATGGATGCCTCCCTCTTTCTCTCTCCCTTCCTCTCTAAAAAATAATTAAAAACATATCCTCAGGTGAGGCTTAAGCAAACAAACAAAAAACTAAGTTGCCCAAGTAGAGACCTCTGGAAGGGACCCGGGAGATGGCAAATGGAGGGACGGTAGAAATATAAACATCAGGAGCGAGTGGGAGAAGTATAGGGTGAATCTTCCCACAGGATGTGAGACAGGACGAGATGGACACGGGTGGACAGCCTCAGGTGGAGGCAGGCAGACAAAAGCCCGGGAGGAAGCCGCAGCTGCCCGGATGCTGCGTGAAGGAGCCCAGAGCTGAGGGAGGCGGCAGAGCCTGGAGCCACAGGCAGGGCTCTCCACACCTCCAGCTGCCGGGCTTATATTACCTATTAATGATCGTATTATTTTCTTTACCAACTGTGAGCCTGCCTTTGCCCAGCCTGCATTTTTAAGCCTTGGATGGGTACCAACACCTGTCTCCCGAACACTAGTCTACGGATCCGTCTATCGTCTATCCCGCCGCGTTCCCCGGGTGCCCCGTGCCCCGGAGCGGCGGGGCCCTCACTCTGTCTTCGTGTAGTTGAGCTCCTCGTTCTCCCAGTGCACCAGCGCCGTCTCGTAGGGCTGCACCTCGTGCTTCTCCAGCACCTGCATCACGTGCTTCATCTGGAAGGAGAGGGGGAGGGAGGGAGGGGCTGAGATGAGTGGCGTTCCTCCAGCTGTTCAGCTGGTAGGGAAAAGGCACTGCACTGTGACAGTCACCTCACCGGGAAGACCTAGGCATTCGTCTTTATGTTTGGAAAACACAAAAGAGCACAGAGAAGAAAATGAAAATGATCATTACCCCACAACCCAAAGAAAACCACCAGCAAAATTACGGTTTGTATGCTTTAAATTTAACTTAAAAAAAATGTTAGGTAACAGACTTTAAAAAATGTAAACAGCACAGAGGTCTGGAAAGTGACAATCTCGCCCTGCTCTCCTAAACTAATCCCCCTGAGAATTGTTCAGCTCTGTGCCCAGCCTGCCACACCCCTCTCTCTCCCCTGCCATGTGTGTATATAGTATATTTACTTAGCTTTTTAAAGGAAACTAGGATCCCTCAGCCTGGCCAGGGATCAGGCCAGTCAGGGCCATTCCACCAGTCCTGATTGGGCTGATGGGGCCGGCCGGCTGGGGAGGGAGTGCGGGAGGGCATGTCTGACCCTCTCTCCCAGTCTCGATTGGTCAGACCCCAGCAGCAAGCTAACCTACTGGTCAGAGCATCTGCCCCCTGGTGGTCAGTGTGTGTCACAGCGACTGGTTGAGTGGTCAACCCAATGGTTGATTGATCAGTCGGACACTTAGCACATTACACTTTTATTATATAGGATGGGATCATAGTGCGCATAGGAACGCTTTCATGCAGGAAGTGCATCTGGGTAACCATCCTAAATGTGCACCTACGCGGGGGAAGTCCTCTCTCCACTAGGACGAATGTGTGTACCTTCATGGCCTTGTGGGAATATTTCTTTAGAAACTGCTAGGTCAAAGACATGCACACTTACAATTTTGGATAAATTTTGCAAAGCCGCTCTCCCGAATAGTTTTCCAATTTTAGAATGCAAACATTTATGAATATTTAATTTAAATATTTAAAAACCCTGGTATTATCAGCTTTTACATCTTTGCTACTTCAAATAGCCAATCTGTATCTTCTTTTTTTTTGTTGGTCACTTATATTTCCCTTTCCTTCAGGAAATGCCCCCAGTTACCTCCACGCACACGTGTGTGTGTGTGTGTGTTTACTCTTAGTAAAACTGGAATTATCTGAGGTATATTTTTCTAACCAACTCGATTATTAGTTATAGTTTGTAACCTGCTCTTTTAACTGTATCATACACACATTTTCCACCACTTCCTAGGGATATTTTTCCCACATGATTTCAAAGAGCTGTAGTATATTCTACATTTACTACAGTAGTAAACTCGAAAAATTGGTGGTATTTAACAAACTTTCTACTACCATGTATTTTGGTTATTTCTCCATTTTGCTACTGAAAACGATGTGTTGATGAACCTCATGCATCAGCCACCATGCATAACTGCAACCGTTTCCTTTGGATAACTTTCTACATGTAAACCGCTGAGTTAAGTATAAAGCTTTGGTGTGTATGCTCAAACTGCCTCCAAAAAGGCTGTATTAAACACCTCCTGACTGGGCACTAGAGAAATTGTTTCCTGTGAGTGATAAAGTCCTAGAAACTGATCTAAAAATGAGACTTGGAGGACCAGCTCCCCGTGTACTGTGTGTACATACTCACTTTGTAGGTTACCGTGTATGGCGAATGCTTCCTTCTCACTGCAGTGTACCTGGGATTGTTCTGATTCTCCAAAAACTAGTGTATGCTCAGAGGTTGCAGGAAGTTTATAAGCCAAAATAGGATGTATTTTGGAAGACGAAACTGCTAGGATAAAAATGACATAATGCAGAGCAAACAAGTTGTGGATTGCCTGTTAATTTATCCCCCAGTGGCTGAGATTGTTGAGCATTAACTACATATTCTCAGAAAACTGTATTTTTATACTTTTACACCTTATTTATACTCACAGTTTTGTCTTTTACGTTCCAGAACACAGCAGCTCCTTCCCTAATTTAAAAGAATAAAAGAACGAAGTTAAAGGTAGAATACATCCTTTAGGACCCTACGTAAAGCCATGCTTGAGTGACTTCTAGGATGTATCCAGAATGCAATTTAAAAATATGTGATTTATTACTGATTTGACTTTATGGTTCCTAGATGGATATGCCAAAACAAAAGCTACTCTTTGAATTCTTGAGAAAATCGGACCTCTCAACAATTCATGATTTCTCTCTTGGTTTGCAGAATAAATAACTCTTATTATAATACTATGGAACGACGTATCTAGACTGTTGTATACTTGCTTCCATTTTGATGTACAAAGATCAGAATAAGGACATTTTTGAGACTCGCTTTAGCGCTCCTACAGATTCTGCTGTAGGAACAGAACAGAGGGCCATGCTTTTCATAGCTGTGGTACAGAGAGACCGAGACGAATGAAGGCACAGACACCTGGGGCTGAGGCCTCGTTCTCACAGTGCGCACGGCAGAACTATAATACAATAAGCCGCAGGAGCCTCGGAATCCGATTCTCCTTTGATAGAATGTAAGGCCTGAAAGCTATAAACCCACTTGTTTTGGTTTCTGAAGTCTGCGTGTCCTGTTTGAGCAGCACATAAAAGAGAGAGTTATGGCTCTGGGTTATTGCCCGGAGGAAGGAAAGGTGGGGATGAAAGGAAGGTAAAAATATCCTGGACCCCTGGCAGCCTTCAGACATTTCTTAAGTGATGCACCGAGCATCTGGGCTACAAGGATGAGGGTGGCCTAGTTCCTATCCTCACGGAACGCCCCATCTGGAGAGACTGATCCTAGACTGCCCATACAACAGCGCGTGACCAGTGCTCTGACTGAATGGAGCAGCATATACCTGGACGGACACAGTTCCCGAAGGACCCGCAAGCCAGCCAGAGGAGAGAAGGGGAGGGGAGAGCCAGCGGAGGGCACACCCTGGGCTCAGGAAGATGGGGGGAGGGACAGGGCACCCCCTCAGAATAAAGAGCTAGCAGTTTGCTTGGCGGTGGGTGCGGGCAGGGAGGAACTTGGTGTTTTGATAAGTTGGGTCAAATTCCACAGAACTTTAAGCAGCAGAGGGTAGGGACCAGAAGACCTATTGACAAATGATCCTGCCTGTGACAGACACACAGACTGGTGGGGTGGGGAGGCCAGGGAGGAGACACACCGGCTTTCAAAGGCTCCGTGCGAAGAGAAGAATGTAAACTGTCACACTCCTGGAACTCACACACAATAATACTGAATGTAAGCTGTAGTAGAAAAAATTTAAAGTTATCCTGCCGTACTCTGAGGGGGGAAAAGAATGCAAAATTTCATTAATTAATTGATTACATGTTGAAATGGTAATATTTGAGGTATGTTGAGTTAAATAAAATACACTATTAAATTTAATTCCAGGCAATATATGATTTTGTTAGTGTTATTAAAAATTCTTTTTTTTTTTTTTTTTACTTTAAAAATGTGGCTATTATAATAGAAAATGTATTGCTACCGGTGAGACTTGTGTCTGTGGCTTGCATTATGTTTCAGTAGTCAGCACTGGCCTCAGCATTCAAATTCCTCCCACGATTCTACTGGGACTGCATGCCGCACTCTGAATTATCTTCAAAGTAACATCAAAAGGAAGATGAGTCACCGACAGAGGCATTGATAGGGCTTCCAGTTATCAACAACCACATGGGGGGCGGAGGAGGAGGGGGAGCAGAGGGTGAGGGGAGGACATCCTGCCTGCGGGCTGTAGAAGGCCCACAAAATCAGTTGGTCTGGCCCCGCCCAGGTGCTAGGGGTGCGTTAGTTGTTTGAACAAACACAGGAGGCTAATTTGTAAGTTGTTATTGTGTATGGCCCAAGAATGAAGTCATAAATATCCAAATGCCCCGGGGGCAGAAAAAGGGTTCCCTGACCTTGAACTACAAGGATGAAGACCACAAAGATGTTACCAAAGTCTGGGTTCTTCCGGAAGCTCCGTGTTTCTGTCCTGCCACTTGTGAGTCCCCTGCTCGTGGACAATTCTCCTAACTCCCCTGACGCCCGTTTCCTCGGCTGAATATGGGACTAACGGGTCTTTCTCCCATGTTGGGAGGGTAGCATGGAATTATTTCAAGTGGTTTCTACTATCGCTCCGCTCCCCGTCAGCCACTCGGCAGTAGGGACATTCAAACCGCCTTTCAGCGAAGGAGTGAGTGTGAGGTAGATTGTACTGCAAGTGCCCGGACAGGTAAAGCGGGCCAGAGCATCAGTGAGAGAGCTGCGGAGGGAGGAGGAGAAAAGGAAGAAAAGGCAGCAGGGCAGGCAGCCTGAGTGGAGAAGCAAGGCGCCCTGAGGATGAATGGAAAATGGGTGCTTTACCTGGACTTAGTAAATGCAAATCCAGACTTAAAGAGACAAGCCAGGGGAAGATTATTTGCTGCTTTTAAAAATTATTTTACAGGAGGGTTTACCGGAAGTTCCCTAAAACGGACAAACCCTCCTGGATATAATAAGAATCAAAGGACACATTTAAATCACAGACTCGCTCCTGAGAGAGGAGGCACACCTGCACCTGTAACACCACATTTCCCGCCCACGGTCCCCCTCCCAGTGGGTTCTTCCTGGTCTTACCTGAAGAAGAATATTGTTCCAGGATCGCCTTCTTTTGCAGAGTTTTGCACACCCATCACCAAGATATTGGCTGCATCTGTGGTTTAAAATAACTGGCTGAAAAGCTATGTCACGAGGTGACACAAGGTATAAAAGGGACCATAAACGTTTAATCAAGAATGCGTGATCATCTTCTTACACCATTAAGCACTCTAAGAACACGCCAATCAAAGGTTTCCTGAAAATGTTCAATGAACATGAAAAAGCCATAGGAAATACTTTCACAAACATTCAACAACCTGTGAAACTGTTGGTGCTATTTAAACCCGCTCATTCAAACCCATTTTGATTCAGTAATCACCAGTCCAGTTAATTATTATTAAAGTCTTAGTTAGTTTCAATACAACTAAAGCTCTACAAAATTAAAGTAGTATATAGGTGAAGAACCATCTACATACACTCATCTTTAAATACCACTTTGTTTATAATTTTATATATTAATAATATAATTCTCAATCTTTTTGAATTTTAAATGATACTGTGTAAATTGTGGGTAAAAAAAAAATACAGAAACAAAGCTACTGACTATTTCAAAGTTAATTATGAGAACTACCACCAGTCACCTGTAATGTTGAAATATTTTAACCTTTTAAATATTATTAAATAAATATCAATATATAAATATTTATAAAAAGTAACAAGTATTTAAATATTCTGTAAGTTGAAAACATATTAATATATCAATTAATACATATATTAATATTAATATGTAAAAGGTTATATATAATATCTTAACCTCAAATTAGGATCCTCAAAGTTTCAGACTTCCTGCTAGAAGCGAGGGAATTCAGATAGGGACCAAATCCTAAAGCACCTTTTTTGGATGACCTCTAACTTCCCTAAATCCTGTAGAGAGCCAAGGTCACCTGTGCAGCCAGAGCAGCACGAAAGACAGTGGAGCCTCGCAGGGAGGACGGTGCAGGATCCCGGGGGGAGCCGTGTCCCAGCCACCAGCCCAGCTGCCAAGGGCGACTTTCCGTTTGGGGCCCTGGACAGAGCTCCATCTTCCTAAGTCACTTGTGCCTGTTTTCGCCATCAAATGGACCGAATAATCGGTTCAGATCATCAAGGCTGAGAAAGCATAATGCTATTTGGACTATTTCATGTGGGCTCAACAACTCCCAAAATTTTCTCTGGAGCAGAGGGTTTTCAACCTACACGTTCTGCTACTTTGAGGTAAATTCATGAATTTTCAGCAAAGTGTTCCAAGTTACTTTTTTTAATATAGGGCAGGCTATTTCTCAAGAATCCTTCCTGATCTTCTAATTTCCTCGGTTACGGTTATTTTAATATTGTGTTCACCTTTTGGCGCATTTTCTTAGTTTTAAAGTCTTGGATGATATTGGTCAGTTTTTCTTTAAAGGATGATAACGGTCAACATTTCTATCAATTTCCTGGCTCTGCGGTGATACTAAAGGAACACTGTAATGCGAAAGCAATGAACGGCCAAGACCTTCATCATCCAAAGTACGGGTGATGCTATGCAGCTTAGTAGGTCTTATTGGTTTCAATCTGAGAACTAAGCTCTCATAAACTACATTTTTTTCTTTTCATAAACTACATTTTAATTTATCTTTCTACGTTGTTTATATGAAGGGGTTCAGCCACCACGTTTATGATGCAATCCTTTAAACAGAAAAGGAAACTTAAGCAAACGCGGACTTAAGACAGTATAAGAGGAAGAGTATTTGCTAATGCATTTTAACATACTTGGCCCCGGGTTCAAGATGTACCTCTAGGCAAGCTTGTGACTTCAATGTATCCCTGAGAGGCCAGGTCTTGGGAGAGAGCTCCAAGGTGATACTCGTCGGCGGTGGCGAATGCCGTGCAGTGCATCAGGTCCTGTTGTGGGGAGATTAGCAGGACAGGGGTTACCGGGAGGCCCAAGGGTCCGCAATGGCTGCTGTCACCTTACTGGCTCCGTCTTGCAAGGCTGGTGTTTTTCCAAACTTCTCAAAGACTCACACAGGGATGTATTAAAGAGGAGGAGGAGGGGCTGCAGGCAGACAGGCTGCTGCTGAGTGTATGAGAGAACGTGCTCCTGCTAGCCCAGTGGTCGGCAAACTCATTAGTTCACAGAGCCAAATAGCAGCGGTACAACGATTGAAATTTCTTTGGAGAGCCACATTTTTTAAACTTAAACTTCTTCTAACGCCACTTCTTCACAATACACTCGCCCAGGCAGTGGTATTTTGTGGAAGAGCCACACTCAAGGGGCCAAAGAGCCGCATGTGGCTCTCGAGCCGCAGTTTGCCGACCTCAGTGCTAGCCAAAACAGCAGGAAGGCTACCCTGAGAGGGAAGCCGCTCCCCTACTGGGAATGAGTGTATCAGGGGCAGAGTGAGCGAAGATACAAAGGACTAAGGAGGCATCACGTGGGTGCCCGGGTGACATGCTATTTATTTACTTATTGGATGACATGCTATTCAAAAAGTTTCTCCAGCCGAGACCGGTTTGGCTCAGTGGATAGAGCGTCGGCCTGCGGACCGAAGGGTCCCGGGTTCGATTCCGATCAAGGGCATGTGCCTTGGTTGCGGGCACATCCCCAGTGGAGGTGTGCAGGAGGCAGCTGGTCCACGTTTCTAACTCTCGGTCCCTCTCAATTCTAACTCTCAATTCTAACTCTCTATCCCTCTCAATTCCTCTCTGGGTAAAATTAATAAAATATATTTAAAAAAAAAAAAAGTTTCTCCAACCCGGAGTTTCCATGACTCTTATTCACAGCCACATTATTATTTAAGGTCATTTAATAACTTGCCACTAGCCTGTACAAGCCGAGATTATTCGAAATCTACAAAGGAATTACAGATCTACTACTCTGGTTGATATTAATCAAACCCAGGTTTGATTCCTGCACCCAATCTCGGCCGTGTGTACATATGAACATTCATGATTTGTGTCTGTACAGCACACACATGAAAAGACGGCCCAGTGCAGTGTTTTTCTCAAACTGTCTGTCACAACCCATTAGTGAGTCCTGGTATCAGCTAAGTGGTCCAAACCAGCTTAAAAACAAAACTAAACAGAATAAAATAGAAAATATTAGGGTACATTAGTCATAGTAAGGAGACATTTTATTTTTTTAAGTTTTCTGTCACTTAGATATGTCTACGTATGTATACAGGGTCACTATGTATTTCCTATATAAAAGGCTAATACGCAAATTGACCAAACAGCAGAATGACAGGTCTATGACACACACTGATCACCAGGGGGCAGAGGCTCAACGCAGGAGCTGCCCCCTGGTGGTCCGTGTGCTCCCATCACAATGGGAGCACTGCTGAGCCAGAAGCCCAGCTTGCGGAAGTCCTACAGATGTTCAACTGCCAGCATAGGTCAGCTCTCCAGGCCTAAGCTGGCAGTCAGACATCCCCCGAGGGCTCCTGGACTGTGAGCGGGCAGGTGCAAACCAGGCTCAGGGGATCCCCCTCCATGCACGAATTTCATGCACCGGGCCTCTAGTATAATATAAAAACATTTCTCACTTTGGGACGAGGTCAATGAAGTCAAAAGCTATTGGCACAGGCGCTAAGAGTTCAGGCACAGAATTTGATTCAGCCGAAACCGGTTTGGCTCAGTGGATAGAGTGTCGGCCTGCGGACTTAAAGGTCCTGGGTTCGATTCCGGTCAAGGGCATGTACCTTGGTAGCGGGCACATTCCCAGTGGGGTGTGTGCAAGAGGCAGCTGATTGATGATTCTCTCTCATCAATGTTTCTAACTCTATCCCTCTCTCTTCCTCTCTGTTAAAAAAATCAATAAAATATATTTTAAAAAATTTGATTCATTTTTAAACATCAGATTAATAATAATGCCTATTTTTTAGGGTTGTTGTGAAGTTTAAACAAGATGATCAATGTCCACTTCTTAGAACTCTGACTGGCACAAATGTTCAACATTTTTTATAGTTATTAAACCATCAAAGTTTATGGGAGGTTAAAAAGTTTATCAAGAATAAATAAAATAAAGAAAAAAATATATAAAAAGTAAAAAAATTTTAAAAAAAGTTTACCAAGTAAATTATATCTGAACATTCACATATTCATTATTTTCTGTTTTAACATCTACTGATCAGAACGTGAGTGATTCTATTCCTCTGAGATATATGGTGCTGTATCTCTGATCAAAAGAGGAGGGTCACTAAATCAAGTTATTCCTAGACTCACTCATCTCAGCTCCTAAAGTCTTTTCTTTTCTGTTCCAGTCCCAGTATGAAGTTCAAGAAAAGGAATATATTAATTCCTTCCTTTCTCCCATCAACAATACAGTTTTACACAAAATCCAGATTTCCACCATCTTTTGATCAAGCAGAAGACCTGGCAATAATCAACTAGGGTTTAGCAGGGGCGGGTCCCCCAGCCCACACGGTCTCCCACTCCCTGCTGTTTCGCCTACGTCACCCCCATTTGGTACTGGCCCGGCCCATCTGTGCTGAAAATGATCACTCCTTTTCACTCTCAAAAATGGGGCAAGGCAAAGCATTTAATCACCATTTCCAGGAGAAAATTTATTCTGAGCTCCAGATAGTCAGATTATAAATACATTTTAAAACACAACCTGTTTTTCTCTTAGCCGATCCGAGGATTTTCTTTGCAGATTTCCTAAAGATTGTCACATTTCCTTCTCTCACTGTGTCCCATTTAGTTTTGCTAAAAATTCTAGCCAGTAACACATGGCGTATGTGGCTTGCCACACTACTTTCTGTATCCCCCTTAACCTGAATCTGTTTAAGTTATGGCTTCTTCTATTAATAAGTGAGTCATAAAGTTTTTCAGTTTGGCTTGGTCGATATATTTTTCCCCCTTTGCTCTTAAATTGCAAGACTGTAGGTAAATCTATTTGGTAAAAGGAAAGAGAACTATGAAGTGTCCTGTTTTTGCATTTCCCTCTATTAATTAAAAGTGTTATTACTTTGTGCGAAGCTTTCATTTTCATATGTCTTTTACTTAATTTTTACAATGAATCATTATTTAGTAAGCATTTTATACATACACATACATAGTACAACTTTCAAGTTGTAAAATGGGGTCAACAACCTGCTCTGAAATAAATGTGCCAAACCAACCAAAAATAGTTCTTGGATTTAAGACCTAAATTTAGGTCTTCGTATTTTAAAATGTTAAAAACAAAACACCCCAAAGCCAAGAAAGCCACAGCATTTTCAGCCACGGGCTTTTCCCTCTGGCCACCGAAGACACGTTCCAGCAGAGGGGGCTAGGAAGCTGCACAGGATTCTTGTTTTAGCGTCACACGCTCTGATGAGACACTCGTCTTAAAAAGGAAAGTTTAGTTTGTTCACATTCTGTGCCTGAAGAACATTGGCACATTACAGCCATGCTGCTTCCCTACCGTAAGGGGGAAATGTGTGTCTTTCCTGTAGAGATTGCAGGTGAACCTTAGTAAACAGATACATTTTACGTTACTGTTAACAATGCTTTAGCTTTCAAACTTTCTCGCAACCTATGGTGAGAAGTCCTTTCGTATACACAGTATGCACACACCTTAAATGTTTCTCATATCCTGGGTCACAAAGTTTCCCCAGACAATATTTTTTTACCCTTTACACTTGTAATGCGTTCTTATACTTTACATGTTCTATTTCATTAAAAAAAAAAACACACCAAACCCCCCCCACCCCCAAAAAAAAAACACACACAAACAAATAAAAACACCCCAAAAACACACACACCAATCTATATATCAAAAGGTTGTGGGTTTGATTCCAGGTCAGGGTGCATACCCAGGTTGCAGGTTTGATTCCTGGTTGGTGTGAATGTGGGAGGCAACTGGTAGATGTTTCTCTCTCTCCCCGCCTTCCTCTCTCTTTAAGAGAAAAAGAATTAAAAAAAAAAAGTGGTCTCACTGATCATTTCTTCAACAGAGGTAAAAATAGTAACAGCCCATTAGTTAAGTTTACAGTTCATCGCAGTGGTGGTCTGAAACCATGCCTGGGCATTCCAGCATTCGGTGCGCATGTGGGCTCCATGCAGCTCAGGGCCGGGTCTGCTCCTACTGACAGGACATGCCAGCAGCACTGTGGTCGCCACGGTACGTGATGAGCAGTGGATGGGGCTGATATATCAGTACGTCATGATCTCTGCCAACGACACTAGGGGGAGCTGATTCCCATAGAGGAGGTGATGAACCTCATTCCGTCAACTGCAAGTGCGTGCTGTGTGGCAGAGGGAATGGGCGAGCTCAGGAGCCCGGGGAACGAGACAAATCACGCCCGCTTTCTGGTACAAGTATAGCTTTGTATCTGCCATGAATTCAGGTTTTTGTGCTTAATTTCATCTCAGACACTTAGATACGGGATTTCCTGGACTATCAGAAAGTAATAAAATAAAAACATCAGGAGCCAGGAAGAAGAAATGGCAAGAGAAGTTCACATGTAGCTCTTCCATCCTTTATATCCTGGGTTCAGAGAGGCCGTACAAGAACATAAATAAAACCAAAATCCAAAATAAAAAATCACTGGTTGATGCCTAACTTCATAATCTGAAGATTAGTAATGAGGGTCTATAGATCTTCTCAAAGGAAGCCATCAGCCCAGTAAAAAAGTACAAGCCCTAGATGGTTTGGCTCAGTGGATAGAGCATCAGCCTGCCGACTGACGGACTCCAGGTTCGATTCCGGACCCTAAGCATGTTTAATTTTGTTGTGGGCTTGATTCCCAGTAGGGGGAATGTAGGAGACAACCGATCAATGATTCTCTCTCATCATTGATGTTTCTGTCTCTCTCTCCCTCTCCCTTCCTCTCTAAAATCAATAAAAATATATTTTAAAAAACAAAACAAAACAAAAAAACCCCACAAAGAAAACCACAACAAAATTAAACATGCTTAGGGTCCACTCAGAATTGAAATGTTCAGACAGACATTCTAACCTGTTTTCTGATAGATACTGCAGGACTGATCAAGTTTTAAATATTCTACATTCCTTTAAAAATAAAAAAACTCGAGGATATGTTTTTTGTTCTTTTTTAGAGGGAAAGGAAGAGAGGGAGAGAGAAATGCTGATTGGTTGTTTCCTCCTGTACACCTGACCAGAGATCAAACCTGCCATCAACTGAGCCACCTGACCAGGGCACATTCCTGTTTAAAAATATAGACATATTTTATTGATTTTTTACAGAGAGGGAGGGAGAGGGATAGAGAGTCAGAAACATCGATCAGCTGCCACCTGCACACCCCTCACTGGGGATGTGCCCGCAACCACGGTGCATGCCCTTGACCGGAATCGAACCTGGGACCTTTCAGTGTGCAGGCCGATGCTCTATCCATAGAGCCAAATTGGTTTCGGCCACGTTCCCATTTTTTTAAAATTGATTTTATACAGAGAGGAAGAGAGAGGGATAGAGAGTTAGAAACGTCGATGAGAGAGAATCATCGATCAGCTGCCTCTTGCACATCCACATCCCCCACTGGGGATGTGCCTGCAACCAAGGTACATGCCCTTGACTGGAATCGAACCTGGGACCTTTCAGTCCGCAGGCCGGCGCTCTATCCACTGAGCCAAACCAGTTTCGGCCACATTCCTATTTTTTAATGATGAGGAATACAGACATAAAAAAAAAATCTCTGCCTTTTTTCCATCCTTTCCAACTTAATAAACACTTATTAAGTACAAGGCACAGTTCTAGGTTATTATTAGATTAGAATTATTAGAAGATAGGAAGGTTAACAAAGGGCTTGATTCTGACCTTAAATGTTTCTCATTTAGAGGGGAAATATGATTATAGCTAATAAATTCCCATACACCTTGTAACAGAGAACAAAAATACCCCTTCAACCTTCAAAGAATAAAAAAGCAGAAACCTTCCCCCTGCCTTTGGATTTGACCTTGACACCTCATTTCACCACCCCACCCATGCAGTCCCATGGACTCATGAATGCCTACCTGTCTGCACAGTTCCTAAAACATTGTTTTTAATTTAATAAACAATTCCTTCAGCTTGATTTTTTTAAAAATAAGTGTTTTTTTTGTTTTGTTTTTTACGGGACCATTCCCAGACTGCATTTAATACTCTTCTTCTTTTTCAAAGTTTCCTTAGGCCAATAACTAACCCTTTCCTATTTGTTCATTTAATCACCTACAGTTTGTCTTTCTATGTTTCACTCATTCTTAACATGAAGATTTTGATTCCCTTTGAATACAGTAAGTTTTACTCTTCGGCTTCAGAGATCTTGATGACAAAACTGCTGAGCTGTGTGCGACCCACGCCAGCTCAGAGAGGGCGCGGTTACTCCTGCCCGCAGGCCCCACCACGCCTTTACCTCGTTCACGGACAGAACGGGGAGGTTGGTCCTGGACGGCTGCCGCGTCCTCGAAGGCTTCAGCGGCCTCTTGATCTGCGGGAAGTCTTGTTTAGGAACAAGCGTTTCTGTGGACGTGGATGAGCAATGCCTCTCGATTATTTTTATAAACCACTTGGGACCTAGTCGGTTTGGCTTGTGAGTCAGCCGGGGAGTGCCCGGAGCCTTCCTGGCGGGGAGGCGCGCCTGTCCGTCGGGGCAGCGGGCGGTGCCGAAGGCAGAGGACACGCAGGCGTTGGGTGCGCTCGGGCTGGTCTCCAGGACCCGGGCCTCCTTCAGATCGCCGGCGGCGGGGTCGGGAAAGAGCAAATCCACGGCCGGACTCCTCGCCAGGGCGCCGCGGGCCGCACTCTCAAGCTCCTTAAGCGGGTTTCCCGCTCGGTGAGCCAGGCGGCGGCGCTGACATGCTTTTGATAAAACGCAGGGAGATCCGGCCAGGGCATGGAGCAGTCTGGCTGACATGACCACATCCCAAGCTAGAAGGAAAAGAATTCAAAGTTCAAGCGTTGCTGTTGTATTTTAAAGTTTCAAAAAAAAAAAAAAAATGCACGGTATTTTCCTAGGTAACAGGCAAATTTCTGTAAAAATATTTGCAAAAAGACACATCTTAGTCTAGCAAAAAAAAAATGTTACAAAATAGATAAAGTATTTCTGCTACTTTCCCTTTCATCAACCTTTGGCCTTTATTCTGGAAGATTACGAGATTACAAAGCTAACAGGACGAGGGCCTTAAAAAAGAAACAGAGCTGCGAGAACTCTCCATTTTCTTCATTAGCGTATCTATTATTTAAAACCTGTCCTTATGAATTCCTTTATTCAAAGTGTATGCAGCCAAAACAAAAACAAAGCAAAAAACAAAACAAAATGTATGCAGCCTTTACAGTGAGCTGGGGGCAGGCATGCTTCCGTGAAAGGACAGGGTCCCGCCATCGTGGTGCTGACAGTCTCTGGGGGGACAGGGTTTGCACCTGTTCACTGCAGCTCAGTGGAAGGCCCGAGGCCTACTCCAGTGCACTGAGAATCACACAGCAGCTGGCCCCACTGTGCAGGGAGAGGCTCCCAGGAAGATCTAAGCTGCTACTCGAAGGGGAAGGTGCTTTTCAGGTTGGGAGTGGGCATGGCAGTGAGGATACAGGACGTCAGACAGACAGACAGACACAGACACATAGACACACTTGCTTTTCACATAAAGAGAAAACAGACTACATAAGTAATTTCCCCTATTATTCAGAGTATAGAATACTTGTCCTTTCAAAGTAAGCCTGTAGTAGACAATTAATTTATGTTATAGCCCTAACCGGTTTGGCTCAGTGGATAGAGCGTCGGCCTGCGGACTGAAAGGTCCCAGGTTCGATTCCAGTCAAGAGCATGTACCTTGGTTGTGGGCACATCCCCAGTAGGGGGTGTGCAGGAGGCAGCTGATCGATGTTTCTAACTCTCTATCCCTCTCCCTTCCTCTCTGTAAAAAATCAATAAAATATATCTTTAAAAAATGTTACAAAATCACACGTTAGGTGTGGAGCTACGAGTGGGAGTCAGTGATCACAGGATGCACAGTCTGGGAAACACACAGTAATGTTGTGAGCACTAAAGCACACAGTGCTGTTGGGCCTGGGAAGGGAGCATCTGGGGTGAGGCGTGGGCAGGACCAAGTCAGAGGTGACATTTGAACTGGGTCTCAAAAGGGCAGAGGGATCAGCCAATCCAGCACCCGAGGCACACAGTTCTGTTTGCCTGACAAACAAGGGCAGCTTCAGGGGTCAGCACTGGAAAGGGGCCAGTGGCCAGATCATAAGCCATCCCAGAGCGACTCTTTGGTTGGGGGAAGCCAGAGCTTTCAAATGTGACACTCACAGGGCCAAAGGATGTTTAAGAAATGTATCTTTAGACCTCGCTGGTTTGGCTCAGAGGATAGAGCGTCGGCCTGCGGACTGAAGGGTCCCAGGTTTGATTCTGGTCAAGGGCACATGCCCAGGTTGTGGGCTCAATCCCCAGTGGGGTGGCGTGCAGGAGGCAGCCGATCCATGATTCCCTCTCATCATTGATATTTCTCTCTCTCCATCTCCCTTCTTCTCTGAAAAAAGAAAAAGAAAGAAACGTATCGTTGGTAATGACGTAGAAGAGAAATGGAAAAAGACATCACTCACTGAGAACTATCTACCTACCAAGTGCTCTAATTCCCTTGACAATAAGGCATTTAAAGGTCAGAAACTGAGGCTTAGAGAGACTAACTGGTCAGTTAGCGAGTTGCAGAGATGTAATTAAAGCCGAGGCTTTCCCGGTTCCCAAAACAACGCTTGTACCCACAGCACTGCACCACCTCCTTTTAGCTGGGACGGAGAGAGGAGAGGACGGGGGTGGGGGTGGGGTGTTTAGGGTTAGGGTGGGGCAAAAGTTGGTTAAAATTATTCATATGGAAAACAATACAGTAATTTACAAATAATCATACCAGGTTCTATCTCCAGCCAGAGCACATACAAGCAGCACGCAAAGCCCTGGCTGGTGTCCCTCAGTGGTTAGCGTGTGGGTTCTACAGAAGGAATGATTAAGCTCTTCTCCCCTCTTCCATGCCATTTATTTTTCCCTCTTTACTGGCACATTCTTTGTAGAAAATTTGACAATGGCTTCATATTTCACTTGAAATAAAAGCCAAAAATCTTAAAATAGCTTGTGTGGCCCTGCATCCTCTGGCTCTGTAGCTCTCTAACACCTCTTCCAGCTCTTTCCCTGGCTCATTTTTGCTCATCACTCTGGCCTCTGGATCTTGGCATTTACTGTTTCTTATGTGCTTCTCCTAGGTCCCTCTGCAAGCCTCATTCCCTCACCTTCTTCAGACCTTGGCTCAAATGACCCCTACTCATTGAAGTCTTCCCCAACCACTTCATTTAAGATGCAGTCAGCACCCAGTCTCTATCTTCTTCACCCTTAGAGTTCTCCATTGCATAACATCCCTTGTATAACTTATATTTTCAGTTTATTAATTCACACAACACGTATGAACTGAGTTCCTATCATGTGGTAGATACTGTCCTACTTGCTGAAAATACAGGAAAACGGCTAAAAAATTTCTATCTTTTGAACTTTACATCGCATTGGGGTAACAGACAACGAACTTAGAAAATTAGCTATATATATTATATATATATATATATATATATATATATATATATATATATATATATACACACACACACATATGAACAGAGACAACGCTAGAAGAAAAAATAGAAGAGGAAGGGATAGATTTGTCTCCCCTTTGAACGTCTGAGGAGTGAGATTTGTCTTTGGTTCACGCGGTCCCCTTGGCCATCGTGCACAGTACCCGTTAGATACTCCTACTTTCTTTTTCATCTCCTACTTTCTGTATCCCATTCAAAGCAGCTCCTCGGTTCCTGGGCACATTTGCTAAGCAAACAGTAGTCGCTGGGCTATACGATTCAATGGCTAAGTGACCTTCCAATGCCTTAATCTCAAAGACATCTTTACCTTTGCAGGTACCGCTTGGCCCTGGCTCCCAAGAGCGTTCCGTGAGTGTGTGTGGGCTGAGTGCTTTTGACTCCCAGCTAAGTGGACCAAAGATCACCGTTATATGGGCAGAGTACCACAGCGGCCCCAGCGAGACCCGTGACGCCGGAGGTGCCGGGCGGGCGGGGGGCCACCGCGCGGGGCCGCGTGAACCCTGAGGCCGAGGGCGGGCGGTGCACTAACCTCTCCGCCGGCCGAGGGCGCCCGGCTGCAGAGAAGAGAGCGTGGCGGCGGCGGCTTCGCCCTCCCCAGAGCCAGCCCACGCCTGTGCCCTGGGCCTCTCCCGGCGCTGCGCAGGCGCACAGAACTCCGGCCCAGCGGAGCGCGAGCCTCCAGGACCACGTGACCGCCCCGCCACGTGACCGCGCCGCGACCTTTTCCGCTCCCTGGTCCCTGGGACTCCCGGTGCCGCCGGCTTCCGCCTCCGCCCGCTTCCGTGTTCCGCTTCGCGGGTCGCCCTGCGCCGTCCCTGCCTCCGCCCCCGGAAGACGTCCACGTCCTAGAGCCGGCCGTTGTTTGTCTCTCCTACGGGCACCCAATAAAGTTTTTTCGTTCAAAAGCCCTTTTCCCCCCTCTCAGCTCCTCCTCCTCCGCGCCGGCCCCGCCCCCTTCCTGCGGCGGGTGAGGCCCCAGCGCGGGGGACGCCGAGGGCGATGGCGGCCTGCCCGCCGCCCCTGTCGGGACAGGACGAAGGGTCGGTGTCGCTTGCCTCGCCCAGCCCGCTCCTTCTCCTCTTCCCGGTGTGGCGGGAAGCCGGGCCTCGCCGGGGAGCTGCGGGGCCGGGCGGGGGCCGCTTCCGCGGCGGTTGGCGGCGGGGCCGGGCCGGGGCTCCGCACTCGGCCGGCGGCGCAGCATCCTCCTCCGGGATCGGGCTGGGGGTCCCCGCCGGGACCGGCCGGCGCCGTAGCTAACAGTAACGGGCACCGGACAGCGCTCTTGTCTGTGAAGGGGTTTGTACCGCCTTCCCGCCCCGCATGGCTGCCTGGCGAGGGTTCGATGCCCGCCTGCCCCTCTCTGGGTGCCGCGGGGCATGGCTTCACTGGCTCAAGGAACGCACTTTCTTTGGGGGGAAGGGGCCGCGAGGGAGGTGGTGGTCAACATTCTCTGTAAAAGGAATCTCAGATGGATAGAGAAATGTGTTTCTTCCAGAATATTTGTTAGATTAATTCATAATCCTGCCATTAAAAATCCTGCTAGGTAAAGTTGTGGACACCGTAAAAAAAAATCCATTGGTATACATTGAATGGTCAATTTTATATTGGAGTTAACGCCCTTATTCCAAAATATTGTGACACACAAGAACACTTATAAGAAAGTGACCTCGACCCAACCGGTTTGGCTCAGTGGATAGAGCGTCACCCTGGAGACTCAAGGGTCCTGGGTTCGATTCCGGTCAAGGGCATGTATCTTGGTTGCGGGCACATCCCCAATGGGGGGTGTGCAAGAGGCAGCTGATCGATGCTTCTCTCTCATTGATGTTTTTAACTCTTCCCTCTCCTTCTCTGTAAAAAAATCAATAAGATATATTAAAAAAAAAATGCCAGAAAGTGATGGAGTAGATTGAGGCCTGAGAGATACCAGTGGCCCCACATTTAAGCGGGCACTTAGGGGGTGCGACTGACCCTAAGGGCTGTTTGCTTATTGTTGGCGCCCTGGCGCCTCTGGCCTCACCTCAGCCCTGGCTGGAGGGTGCCTTCGCCTGGCACCGAGTCCAGGCCTCAGAGGATACAGTAGCTGGAAAAGTAGCTGGAAAAATATCTGTGTTTTCCAGTGTCTTAGGCTCTACAGCAGTGGTTCTCAACCAGTTCCTCATGTGGCGACCCAAAGATGTTTACATTACGATTCATAACAGTAGCAAAATTAAAGTTATGAAGTAGCAACGAAAACAATGTTATGGTTGGGGGTCACCACAACATGAGGAGCTGCATTAAAGGGCCGTGGCGTTAGAAAGGTTGAGAACCACTGCTAGAGTCTTCCAAGCCTTTTTACATCCTTGTTCATCTAAGTAGATGATGTCACTTGACTTATAGCAATTGACGTGGGAGGAGAGCCCGTTTGATTTTTAGAGTAATTCTTTTTTATTTTCTTTCTGTCACATCGCTAAAACTAGTTTCTGATTAAGGAGAATAAAAGTAATAGTCTGGGAAAGGTAAGGATTTAACAGATTTCTGGGGAGAATCTGGGGTTAGAGGCACAAAGACTGCCTAGCTTTGATGACATACCAGAGAAGTTTCAGATTTTTCTATTCGTAATGTAGTGGTGGCCAGACAGTGCTGATTTTCCTTATAATGGCTGTATGAAAAGGAATTTTAATTTAAATGAGTTGACCCAGAAACTGAAATATGACCCATCTTCTAGTATCAACGCTACTAAGTTATACACTGTGTGATTCTTTCTTCTAGGTCGTTTGCATATCTTACAATTAAAGACAGACTACCACAGATCTTAACCAAGGCTATTGATACATTGCATCGACATAAAAATGAAATGTTTGAGAAACACGGAGAGGTATGAAATGTATTTGAACTTTAATTATTTTCATAAATCTTTAATAAACAGTTTCCCCTCTTTGATAATGGTCATTCCACTTAAAAATAATGAAGGGACTCTAGTTATTAGATGAAACTTAAAAAGGCAGAATAGATAAGACAGGATAATGTTGATATGAGATCTGTGTGATTTGATTTTCAACTCAAGAATTCTAGCCGAAACCGGTTTGGCTCAGTGGTTCTAAATTTAAATGTTTATAATAGTTTGTAAAGACATAAGATGTAGTTTTATAATATAGTAGTTCTTTCCTTCTTAAGTTTAGGTCCATAAAAATGTGCTACCTTAGAGGAATTATTCATGTATAGATACTTATATATAAAGTACATATAAATTTTAATTATTTATAGATAGACTAGGAGCCCAATTTGAAATTGTGTGGCATCGCCTACCCACCTGCAGCCCTGCCTTGACACGTGAACCTGACCATGCAGAGCTCTAGGGCACCTGGCCCCGCCCCCAAACCCTCTGGCCTTCTCTGGCAGCTTCAAGCACGGCCCTCAATACCTCGAGTTGCCTTGGGTTGGTCCCACCTTTTCCCAGTGCTCCCCGCTTTCGCCCTGTCTCCCGAGCAACGCCCCAGCTAATATGCTAATGGTCTGGTTGTTACCCATTACTGCGTCCCAACCATTAGCCTATTATCTCTTTACTAGAGGCCTGTTGCACGATATGCAAGAATAGACCTTCCTTCCCCTGGCTTCACTCCCAGCTCCTTGGGAGCCAGCACATCACCACTCCCTGGCCACCCCTGAGCCAGCATTTCCTCGCTCCCAAGCCGCCTGAAGCTGGCAAATCCTTGCTTCTGTCTGGAGCACCACGCCAATAGCTCCCTCAGTAGCCCCCCTTCCCTTCATAGCAGGCTTCACTCCGCTCCCGTGCCTGCATATGCAAATTAACCTCCATCTTTGGTGGGTTAATTTGCATACTCACTCTGATTGGCTGTGGCATAGCAGAGTGATGGTTAATTTGCATGTTTCTTTATTAGGTAAGATTAGCATAGGTTATCTATTTTTTATATATGTGAATGTTTCTTCTATATTTCTGTAGAAAGGCATAGAAGCTGAGAAGAAAGCAATTTCTCTTCTTTCTAAATTGCGGAATGAATCACAAACAGACAAGCCCATTGTCCCCTTAGTGGAGAAGTTTGTTGATACTGACATATGGAATCAGTACCTAGAACATCATCACAGTCTTTTAAATGACAGTGATGGAAAACCAAGATGGTTCTACTCACCATGGCTGTTTGTGGAATGCTACATGTATCGTAGAATTCATGAAGCAGTTATCCAGAGGTAAGTATATAACCATCAAGTAAATGTTCAGTTAACTTATGCTGTTTTTGAAATTATAAAGTGATAAGTTTAAAAACAAAAACCAGAGGAAACATGAATGTAGTTCAACAGATATTAATGGCACTACTGGAAATGCTGCAAATGTTACCACTACAATCGATTCTTGGCAATTATAATCCACATGCCCAGAGTAGACATAAGATTGAATAACTGAAGTAGGAATAAGTGCATTAATTTTCATGCACCAGGCCTCTATTATAAAAAAGGGCAAAATAAACATTTGTTTTATTTATAAAACTAGATTATATGTCAGTTAATGTGGTATAAGGAATCAGTAGCACAGTGAAAATAGAAGACATTTTTAAGCTTTTATTAAAGTGTAATGTACATACAGACCAGTGCACATCTTTCCCAGAACATGCTTGCGCCCCTAGTGTCCAGATCAAGAAGCAGACCCTTCCTAGGACTCCAGGAGCCCCCGTGGATCCCCTTCCGTTCACTACCATCACAGCCCCTCAAGGGTAACCACTGCCTCGATCTGTGTTAGTTTTGCTTGTTTTAAAATTTCATTCCAATGAAATTACATGGGACATAGTTTGGCATCTGATTTCTTTCATTCAGCATTGTGTTGCTGAGATTAATCCTTATTGTTTGCACATAATTGTAAATAACTAATTTCTATATAGTATTGCAATATATGAATATATCACAATCTTTTTAGCTCTTCTATTGTTGATAGGTATTTGAATAGTTTTTAGTTTGAGGTTATTATAGACAGTGCTGCTTTAGAGGGAAGGTGAGGGAGGGTAGGTAGGTTGGAAGAAATCAATCAATGAACTTGTATGCATGTTTGCATAACCCATGGACACAGACAGTAGGGTGGTGAAGGCCTGGGATGGGGGTGGGGTGGCTAGAAGGGGTCAATGGGGGAAATAAGGGAACATATAATACTTTTTATAGCAGCACTTTTTAAATTTTATGTATTTGGATATGTATTTGAATGTTTATAGAAGCACTTTTTTAAAATTTAAAAAGTGCTGCTATAAACATTCAAATACATATTTTGGTGAACATAGGTGTATATTTTCATGGGGATGTACCTAAGAGTGAACCACCAGTTCACATGCACATAAGCAGCTTTAGTAGATTCTAAAATAGCAAAGATTTAAAAATCAGAAGTCATACATAGTGATGTGAGTTTACTCTCTTAAATACAAGAAATAAAGCTCATTCTTAATATGAGGTGTGACTTTAAACTAATGAATGATTTGTTAATAAAAACTAGAACAGCCCAGCTGGTGTGGCTCAGTGGTTGAGATCAATTGAGAGCTGTATCCCCACTAGGGGGCGTGCAGGAGACAGCGGATGGATATTTCTCTTGCATGGATGTTTCTATCTCTCTATCCCTCTCCCTTCCTGTTTCTCTAAAATCAGTAAAAAACACATTAAAAAAAAATAAAACGCTAGAACAAAGGTTGGGAAAGTTTTTTTTTGTTTTTTTTTTAAAGGCCAGATATAAATATTTCAGGCTGTGGGGCCTCATAGTCTGTGTCGAAGCAAAAGCAGCCCTGGACGCCACATAAACGAGTGAGCATGGCTGTGTTCCAGTTAAACTTCATTCATGGGCACTGGCATTGTAATTTCACGTCACAAATATTATTTTGATTGTTTTCAACCATTCAGAAGTGTAAAACCATTCTTAGCTTGCAGGTCAAACACAGCAGCTGTAATTTGCTGACCCCAACACTTGAGCCTATGTATCCCACCAATTTTTACTTTTTAAGCCGCCTGGAGAGAAGGATTTATTTCAGCAGTGCTGCCATTGCTAAAAACACCTTTTCAGTCTTTGGAATTTCTTTCAGAGCCAGTTTACAAGTCTCAAAGTGAATATGTCTCATTATTTTTTAGTCACTCCTCATTTTTGACCAAACATGTTTTACTCCATCTGATTTATACACCTCATTCTACCGACAATGCTCCGAGTGACTTTTGGCTGTCTCCAAAAAAACATGAACTCCGAAGGGTGAAGATAAGCGACCACCGACAGGACGTTTAACCACGTGCCCCAGGTCCTGGAGAACATTCCAGAGTGCTTTGAGCAATGGCAGCATCTCTGGAATAAGGGTGCGCTCCCAAGGTGGCTGGTGCTGGACGGAGGCAGCACTCATTTGGATTATACAGTCTGGTATGTTTTTGTTTTTATATCAATCCCATTAACTCAGTCATACTGTTTTCACCCTAAGGTGAAAACATGAGATTTAAATGTACTCTAATCTAGAAGGCCAGGCCATCTGAATGTCTTTACAGTTGATTCTGTTTAGGCTGTTCAGTTAGTATTTATACCTTTTAGTTATATTTTTTGTAGGGCAATATTAATATCATTTGATCTCATTGGACAGCATGAGGATGTAGCACATCATGGCACATATGTCACCATAGGTCACAGTCAAATTGGGAATAAAACTTACCAAAAAATTCCCCCCCCCCCAAAAAAAAATATATATATATTTTAGAGATTTTAGAGAGGTAGGGAGAAGGAGAGAGAGAATCATTGATCGGCTGCGTCCTGCACATCCCCTGACTGGGGATCTAGCCTGCAACCTGGGCATGTGCCCTGACTGGGAATTGAACCTGAGACTTTTTGGTGCATGGGATGATGCTCAACCACTGAGCCACTCCGGCTGGGCAGTTATCTGTCATTTTTGAGACCAAATGCTACTATTCTATTTCCTTTAAAATAGAATTACAATTACTCACATGTGTAGGAAAAAGATGCAGTTATAGAAATGTTTCACTTATGTTTTCCTCTCACTTTAGTCCACCAATTGATGACTTTGATGTATTTAAAGAATCAAAAGAACAAAACTTTTTTGGGTCGCTGGAATCCATCACAGCTTTATGTGTTCACCTGCAAGAGCTGATGAAAACAGTTGAGCACCTGGATGAAAATCAGCTGAAAAACGAGTTTTTTAAGCTTCTTCAGGTAAATGTGATCATTCATCTCCTGAGTATATTTGTTGAGTTAAATGGTTAAAAAACAGACTGGTACACATTTAACAACAAAGCCCTTATAGAGACATTCGCATTTTAGTTATCATTGACCATTGTCATGTTAGTAGTAGCGATATTCAAGAGATGGCGGACAATTTAATCTCTAAAAATGGGGTTTGCAATCTCTTCTGCACCTGTGGGTGATGCTCTGCCTTCGTAGCTTCTATCCTTCTTAGAGAATACTTCACGGCCTTTTGGTCGGCCCCGCCTGACTTGGGCTTCAGTGTCTGCTTTGTCGCTTCTTTGTGGTTGGATCCGAGCAACCTACTTCGTTTCTCTGAGCGTTAGTTCCTGCGTCTGTTCAATGACAGTGGTATTGACCGATGTTATATGTAGTGTCTGTTGCCTGTCAAAATGACAGTGGCATTGAACAACTCGTAGTTTGATATGAGGAACTGGATTCATTCATGTGAGTGCTGCGCAGAGTCCGGAGCACAGAACGCGCTGTCGTTATCATCGGGTAGAAACTGTCCTGTTTAATCCAGTCTCATTGCACTTCTTTATCGAGCTTAGATGAAGCTTCAACGTTTAGTTTTAATTTCTCATTCAAAATATCCTTACATTTATATCACTAAGTTCGGAACTGTTTGAAAATGAGTAGTTCTACGCAGTAGTTGCCCAGCCCTGACTGCCCAGGAAAAGTCAGGAACATTTCCAGAAGGAGATGTCAAGAGACATTATGAAGAGACATAATGCAGGGAAGGGCCCGGGAGGTTGGGGGAGGGAGGCCATATCGAGTCTGGAAGGACCTGCTGAGCCCGTGCCTTGGGGGAGGCCTGAAGCGGGTGAAGCAGCAGGTCACAGGCGTGTCTGGGTGGAGCCCGCCGGGCGTGTGAGAACCTGAGAGGAGATTCTGCAGGAAATGAGCGAGGAAAGAGGAGGGGCTGGAAGGGCCACAGGAGGCAAAGTGAGCAAAGGTAAGGACTCTTAATTCCTAGGATGAAATGGGAAGCTATTAGAGGGCTTGGGTCATGACTTCTTTCAAGGATTACTTCAGAAAATGGATTAAAGGGGCCCAGGGTAGAACCTGGGAGGTCTGTTATTAAAATGGCTCAGGGGAGGGGTGACTGGTCCAAGTTGGTAGCATACGAGGGTTAAATCTCAGAATCTTGAGGCTCTGCAGGGCAAGCGGAGTCAGCTGCGTGATGAAGAGGGAGAGGTGTCAGGGTATTGGTGACTAGGGAACCCAATTATCTTGTCTCCTCTGCACTATTCTTTATGTTAGCTTAGAATTAAGAAAAGAAAAGCAGCATGTTACTCATTATCCATAGCTCGGTCATTCTCTCGCAGCCTTTGGATATAATGTTTTTCGTCCCATAAGTTTAATAAATGGTGAGAAGAAGGAGTACCAATCTGTTTTCTGTCACCTGCTTTGGCCAGCCACCCAACATTGTTGCTCTGCTCTTCAGTAAAGGAGCCAAGCTGCTCTGTCACTGTTCACGAGGATCCGCAGGGTAACTTCCTACAAGGAGCTCCAGGCTGTCGTGTCTGTGGGAATATTGACCGTAAAACCATAAAACTCAACCCTGCCCACACATTTCACTGTCCACTCTATAAACACTGTTCTCGATGACAGGCATGTAATGGTGAGAAAAACAAACCAACCCTTGCTGTCATAGAACTTGTAGTCTTGAGGGAATATTGATAAGGGCACAAATCAATATAGACTTAATCACAGCCTGGAAATATGCAGGAGGCCAACAGAGACCCTGACCTCAGCTGGGGAGGGCCCTCTCTATACCAGTGGATGTTTCTTTAACAGAGTTGGACTTAAACCTAAAAAAAAAGTGTGTAAGAATGTGTGTATATGTATGTGTGTGTGTGTATGTGTGTATATGTGTGTGTGTGTATATTCATTTAATCCTTTAAAAATAGTATTCTGGTTGGAACATGTATTTTCTTCTTATTTTGAATCATACAAGAGTACAATCCGTTTAGGCTAATGTTTATTGAGTACTTCTATAAGCCAGCTATTGGATATATTACACTGGTTATGTCAATTCTCACAATAACTCTACGAGATAAATACTATTTTTATCTCATGTTTTAGTTGCATAACCTGAGCCTTTGGGCCTGCATTTACCAGTGGTTGTTCATTGGCTCTGGAGGGATTTGAGCTCAGGGCTCCTGCTTCCAGTGCCTGCACTCCTACACATGTACTTTTACTAATAGCTTCCAAAAGAAGGCTATATGCAATTTCCCACAAAATAAGCTTGAGTATTGTTTCAATTTAAAGTAGAATAATAAATTGTTAGAGTTGGAAGGGTCTTTAGACTAGATATCACCTTGTCCAATTTCTTTATTTTATAACTGAGAGAACTAAATCCTAGTGGGACTGGATTTTACACAGAAATTGAGCAGGGTTTTTTTTTGGGGGGGGTGAGGCTGGGAGGAAAAAAGTCACTTATTTTTCTCTTGACACTGAATTATAAAGTATTTGTAGCTTCTTTTCGGATCTTGTTCTTATATCTGCAAGATGCAAAAATGTCATTCTGATTAAATTATTATGGGTCATTAAAATCATTCAAATCAGTTTTTAAAATTTCACTAAATACTGACCATTTAAAAGTTTTAGTGTTTACCTTTTTTAAAAAAAATAATGTTTTTGTTTTTTTTATGATTTTAGAGAGAGAGGAAGGGAGAAGGAGAGAGAGAAACATCAATGTGAGAGAGAAAGAAACGTTGATTGCCTGCCTCATGCACATCCCCTACCAGGAATCAAGCCTGCAACCCAGGCATGTGTCCTGACCGGGAATCGAACCTGAGACGTTTGGGTGCATGGGATGATGCTCAACCAGGGCTGTTTTACCTTTGTATACAATGTCATGCAAACATAGTCTTTGCATTATTAGACAAAGTGGATTTGATGGACGTTTTATAGAATGAATTTTATGAATACTTTTAGCAGCCCTTCTCCCACATCCTACATGCTAGTTTGTGTTGGTTATTCAGAAGAAGGGTAAATGTTTTGTACTTTTTTCTTTTTCAGATTTCACTGTGGGGAAATAAGTGTGATCTGTCTCTATCAGGTGGGGAATCCAGTTCTCAGAAGACCAGTATAATAAGTTCTTTGGAAGACCTAAAGCCTTTCATTTTAGTGAATGACATGGAACATGTTTGGTCATTGCTTAGCAATCGCAAGAAAACAAGAGAAAAAACATCTGTTGTTAGAGTGGATATCGTTCTAGATAATTCTGGGTTTGAACTTGTTACAGATTTAACATTAGCCGACTTCTTGTTGTCTTCTAAATTGGCTACCGAGATCCATTTTTATGGAAAAATGATCCCATGGTTTGTTTCTGATACTACTATCCATGATTTTAATTGGCTGATTGAACAAGTAAAATGTTCTGATCATAAGTGGGTGTCCGAGTGTGGGGTCAAGTGGGAAAACTATGTTAAGACGGGCAGATGGGTTTACCATGATCACATATTTTGGACACTGCCTCATGAATTCTGTGCAATGCCTCAGGTTGCTCCTGACTTATATGCTGAACTACAGAAGGCACATTTAATTTTATTCAAGGGTGATTTGAATTACAGGAAGTTGACGGGTGACAGGAAATGGGAGTTTACTGTCCCGTTCCACCAGGCTTTGAATGGCTTCCACCCCGCCCCGCTCTGCAGCATCCGCACCTTGAAAGCGGAGATTCAGGTTGGTCTGCGGCCTGGGCAAGGCGAACAGCTCACAGCCTCCGAGCCCAACTGGCTGACCACCGGGAAATACGGAATTCTTCAGTTTGATGGTCCACTTTGACTTGGTTTCGGAACTCGGAGTTGTGTAGAAAGACCTGGTCATCCTCAGAAAAGCGGTGTGTGGATTTAGTCACGTGACTGCTTTGGTTCAGCCCTGAGTAGCTGGGCTTCTTGGCTCAGTTACATCCTCTGGATGGCTTTTTCTCTGAACATCACACATTGTTTTGGGGATAGGTGGGTTAAACTACTTACAGGTCTTTGCATTTATATTGGAATCTTAGTGACTTAGTTCTAAGTTACATGCAGAATCAAATGGGTTTCATGAGCTTATTTTTAATTGGGCAGAAAGCAATATAACTGAATAAATAACTTTTAAAATACTATACTGCATGGTACTTAATATCCTAGGAAGCATGGAATTTTATTTGACTTGATTTGGGGCTCTAGAAATAAGGGCTCTGTGAAAATAGACATCTTAAATATGCTTTGTAAAGAGGGGCATTTTTTTACAACTGTGATATTTGAACACATGAAAGTAAAACTTACCTCATAAGTGAAGAATACTTTTGATCTTAAGTTTTATTTAATTTCAATTGCCTGTTTTACTTGCCTACATTTGGATTTTGATTGACCTTTGGAATGGTAGGGAGCACAAAATTGAACAGAATGAAATAAATGGTATTTGAAGAATAATGTAATACCTTCTGCATTCTATTTGTGGTCAATTGAAATATATTTTAACGTGTTTTAAATGAACAGATTTTTAGATTGCTTGGCAGTTTTAAAGTATGCTTTAGATAGACAAGATTCTTGTGCATTGAATTTGGAGTACTACCAACAAGTTGAATCTTTTTATATTCTTACATATTTATTGGTGATCACCAGTATTAAAAACAATATGTTTCAGTCAGTTTGTTTTGAAACTGAAATTGGAAATAAACCTAGAAATGTTTTCTTGCATTAAAATAATAAAATGAATTGTACTGAGAGTCACATTGGTTTTATTTTCTAATGGGGAAAGTCAAGAAAGGAAGATTTGAAATGAGGTGTACATAATGAATAAACTCCATAGTGAATATTATAAATGTTGTCAAACCAGTTCTTAAGTTATATCATTAAATGAAATTACATTGTATGCCTTTAAGTGTTTAACATTTGTAAAATCTCTATATATAAAAGGCTAAGTATCTATCCATCCAGACTGGTAGCTATGATGCGCACTGACCACCAGGGGGCAGATGCTCAACACAGAAGCTGCCATGATGTGCACTGGCCATTTAAAAATAAATAGCACTTTGGACAAACCAACACTTGTCTTCCCTCAAGTGGGACACAGGCCCCGCCACCACCCTAGAGCGACACCCCACCAAATCGCAGCCAATGCCAAAATCCCATGGTGCAAAATGCAACCCACAGCCCAGCCCAGAAACAGTGGCTGTGGCCGGGTAATGATGTCACATAGCAACACCGGCATCCTTGGAGTTTCTTCAGCTCAGGAACACGATTTGCTTTATAGCCAGGTACAAATATTTTACAGTTTAACCAAATGTGTAATGTTTCCTGTGCCTCATCTCATTTGATCTTCACAGAAGTCCTGGAGAAGGTAGATAGGAGACTCAGTAGAATCCCATTTTCATTAGCAAGACATGAATAACAATATTAAAATATTTTTTCAATTAATTTCCTTTCAATGTGCACAAGTCCGTGCACCAGAACACTAGTGTTTATATAAAGCTGCACATTTTGAATTTACTCTTTCCTTATCTACATGAGTTCCTGTTAAATACTGAGCATATTAGAATTATTTGCAGACACTTGGCACGTTAGAGCACAATTGTACATTTGTGTCATCTTTACAGTGACTGTGAACTATGGTGTAAATATATTCCATTTTCCAAAGTGCTGGATGTTTTATATTTTTACCATGTCTCATTAACATGAGATTAGGATGTCTGAGGAAGTAGTTCACCCCCTCCTACAAGAAAATGGACAAGGAAGCAAACTAGAGGAAGCAAGAAAGATACCTTCTGGAAGAAGTTAAGGTTGCATTTAAACAAATGCTTAGCAGGAGAAAGCCCTCCTGTAGCTGCACTAGTTGATTTTTTTTTAAACCATTTTTATGAGATATGAGTCACATACATGATTCATTCATTTAAGTGATAGCATTTTAGAATGTTCACAAGATATGCATCCGTTACCAAAATCTAATTTCAGAACACCCCTGAAAGAAATCATGTACCCACTGACAGCCATTCCCTACTCTCCTCTTGGTAACTAGTAGTCTACTTTCTGTCTGTGGATTTTCCTGTGCAGGTATGAGCCATAAAATATCTGGTCTTTTGGTGACTGTACCTATGCCTAACATACAGGCCTTGGTGGGGTGTCGCTCCATGGTGGTGGCGGTACCTATGTTCCATTTGGGGTTGGTTTGGACTATTTCTTTTCAAGGTTCATGAGATGCAGTGTGTGTCAGTACTTCATTCTTTTTTATTGCTGAATAACACTCCATTGTATGGATATACCACATGGATAATCCATATTTGTCCATTCATCAGTGGACAGACATTTGGTTTGTTTCCCACTTTTTTGAGAATAATGCTGTTATGAACATGTACACCTTTTTTTTTTTTAAGTACAATTTTCAGTTCTCTTGGGAGAAAGTACTAGATTACATGGCAGCTGAGTTTTAACATTTTGAGGAACTGCCAAACTGTTCAAAAGTGTTTACATTTTACATTTCTACCAGCAATGTATGAGGGCTCCAATTTCTCCACATTCTTGTCAGCACTTGTTATTGTCTGTGTTTTTTATTTTAGCCATGCTACTGGGTAGGAAGTGGTATCACACTGTGGTTTTGATTTGTACATATTGATGTAATGATGTAATGATGTGCATATTTTCATGTCTTGGTGATTTGTATGTCTTGGAGAAATGCTTTTAGTTCCTTTGTCCACTTAAAACTAAATTTTATTGCCGAAACCGGTTTGGCTCAGTGGTAGAGCGTCGGTCTGTGAACTGAAAGGTCCTGGGTTCGATTCCAGTCAAGGGCATGTACGTTGGCTGCGGGCACATCCCTGGTAGGGGATGTGCAAGAGGCAGCTGGTCGATGTTTTTCTCTCATCGACGTTTCTGGCTATCTCTCTTCCTTCCTCTCTGTAAAAAATCAATAAAATATATTAACAAAAAACAACAACAACAACAACAACTAGATTTTATTATTGAGTTTTAAGAGTTTGTTTTGCTTACAAGTCTCATCAGATATGATTTCCAAATGTTTTCCCCCATTCTGTAGTTTGTCTTTTCACTTTCTTTTTTTCTGGTTGATTTTTAAAAAAATATATTTTATTGATATATTTTTTTGCCCCCCTCCCTCCCATACATACCCTCCCTCCCCAGAATTTTATGTCCATTGGTTGCACTTATATGCATGTATACAAGTCCTTCGGTTGATCTGTTATCTCCCCCAGATCTCCCTTCCCTCCTCGCTGTAATTTGACAGTCTGCTTGTTGCTTTACTGTTTCTATATCTATCTTTTGGTTCATCCGTTTATAATGTTCTTTATTTTCCATAAATGAGTGAGGTCATGTGGTTTTTCTCTTTCATTGATTGGCTTATTTCACTCAGCATGATATTCTCCAATTCCATCCAGGTTGCTACAAATAATGAGAATTCCTTCTTTTTTATGGCAGCATAGTATTCCATTGTGTAGATGTACCAAAGTTTTTGGATCCAATCATCTGCTGACGGGCACCTAGGCTGTTTCCAAATTCTGGCTATTGTAGATTGTGCTGCTATGTCACTTTCTTGATGGTATCATTTGCAGCACAAAATTTTTAGATTTTGACGAAGTTTTCTTTATCTGTTGTTTCTTTTGTTGCAAAGCATTGGCTTTTGAACTGCTACTTAACATACTTAAGAAAGAACCACTGATGTGAGAGATCAAGACACTCAGTGGACAGGGCTCTACCTACAGCCCTTTCCCGCTCTCACACCTGTTTCCACTCCAGCAACTTTGGCTTCTGTGTTTGGCATAGGTACAGAGTAGCATGATGGGGAAAGCCGAGGCTTCGGAGACAGGTTTCCCCAAATGGCATCTGCGATTGTTTAACTGTTGACACCATACTTGGTTAAATATGCAGTAACTCCTGGATAAAACAGTATGCAATGTTTTCTTTAACGAGACCTAGATTCAATATCAGGTGTATTATGATGGAATTGTAAATGAAGGGCTGGTAAATCAACAGAGGATGGTGGTTTATGCTCCTTTTTTGATAGAACAACAAATGACAAAATTTGTAGGGATTTTTTATTTATCTATTTTTAAATTTTAAATTTCCCCCAATTGACTGATCCCACCCCCAGCACATGCCCTCAAACCACCCCCCCCCACTGCCGGTGTCCATTGGTTATACTTATATCCATGCATACAAGTCCTATAGTTGATCTCTAACCCCCTTCACCCCCGCCACCCTCCTCTGCCTTCCCTCTGAGGTTTGTGGGTCTCTTTAATGCTTCTTTGTCTCTGGATCTATTTTTGTTCATCTGTTTATGTTGTTCATTAGATTTCACAAATGAGTGAGATCATGTGATATTTATTTTTCTCTGACTGGCTTATTTCACTTAGTATAATACTCTCCAGGTCCCTCCATGCTGTTGCAAATGTTGAGTTTTTCTTTCTTTTTTTTTTTTTTTACAGCAGCGTAGTATTCCACTGTGTAAATGTACCACAGTTTTCTAATCCACTCATCTGCTGATGGGCACTTAGGCTGTTTCCAAATCTTAGCTATTGTAAATTGTGCTGCTATGAACATAAGGGTGCATATATCCTTTCTGATTGGTGTTTCTGATTTCTTGGGATATTTTCCTAGAAGTGGGATCACTGGGTCAAATGGGAGTTTTATTTTTAATTTTTTGAGGAAACTCAAAAAACTGTTTTCCAAAGAGGCTGCACCAGTCTGCATTCCTGTCAGCAGTGTATGAGGGTTCCTTTTTCTCCACATCCTCGCCAGCACTTGTTTGTTGATTTGTTGATGATAGCCATTCTGACAGGTATGAGATGA